TTTTAGTGAAAAGAGCTTCGTTTTTGAAAAAAGTTTTTTTGGGAGCTTTAACAAACTTGTATAAGACTCATTTAATCATTGCAGATAATCCCAACAGTCAAAAAGTCTATTTTAGACAGAGATTTTGATGTGAGTGTTTATTTTTGAAGTTTACAACAGTCGAAATTAATGAATCAACCAAACAAAAAGTGATTTTAGCTCCACTGTTTCAGCTTTCGTTTAAAATTGTTCACAAATCGCTGTCTAGAAAAGAAATTTTCGAAAAAACATGTTAATTAGACGTATATGTATGCGTGTAACTGTTTAAGAGTACAGGCAATTGTTTAGGAGCAATTGTTTAATTATTAGGTTGATGCATAAGTCTTTTCGTTTTTTTCGTACTTCTGTTAAAAAGTAACAAATTCGCCAATTAATCTATAGTTTGCTCTATAAAAAAAAGTGTTTTTTTGTTCAATTTGCATCTTTTTAAATGAATTTCGGTTCACTTTCAAGCAAATTCGAGAGTGAAAAACGCCTTTTTCGTAAAAATCTATAAAAAACTCTACGGAAAAATTGGCTGAATGAATTTCTCTGAAATTTTGGCGAAATATCAAACGTTTTTTTTCTCTATCTTTTATCTATTGACACGAAGATAGGTTTTCTTTAGCTAAGGTGTCTAAACCGCATCATCGAGTTAGCCCTTTTTGACTACCCGACTTCATACTCTCAAGAAAATCCAGGCGTAAAATATTTAAAAACCCGTTTTAATGTTATTTTGCAGAAAAATAATTGGTTTTTCTAATGAAATCAACCGTAGCATTTGTATTGGTGCATTGTATTGGTGTATTGGTGCGTAGTATTGGTGCATTTGTTGGCTTGAAACGGCAGACGAAAAGGAACAAAAACACTTATGCATCAACCTAATATTTAAGAGTATATTTCCATCTACGTCATGTAAAAAACGATTTAAAAGAGATAAAATATAAACAAGATCTATTCGTAGCTATTTCTCAACCAATTTTATACATCGCAGCAAAAAGTAGACAAAAACATTCGAAAGAAATTTCGTTTCAACAAAGTTATTAGTTGTTTATTGAGTTAAGCTCTGAAAAACAAACTAAATGAGGTTTTTGAACCAATTGAATTGATCAACAGAATCAAAAGCTCATTTTTTAAAATTATCCCTTCGAAAACAATAAGCCTTAGTCTCTAATTGAATTTTCCTTTTACCTTTCTGCCCCAAGTGTTGATTGTTTTTCTGATGGTGATGGTGAGGGTGATGGAGGACATTTCTTTGAACAGTTCACTTTGTTAGAAGGATTTTTACAGGATGATGGAGGAATTGACAATGTCGAAACGAAGCAACAATAATGAAATCAACGGGCAACAACAATAAGAGGTTGGAGTTGACTTTTTTTAGTTTTATTGGTTTTATTGGACATTTTATTGGAAGTAGTTTGGCATAAATTTGCAGGGGAATTCGGTAGTTTAGTGCTTTTTAGTGAAAAGGGCTTCGTTTTTGAAAAAAGGTTTTTTTGGGAAGTTTAAGAAACTTGTATAAGACCCCTGCAAAGTGTATATGACCCCTGCAAAGTGTATATGACCCCTGCAAACTCATTTAATCACTGCAGATAATCCCAACAGTCAAAAATCAGAAAATTTTTGAATTATCCCTTCGAAAACAATAAGCTTTTAGTCTCTAATTGAATTTTCCTTTTACCTTTCTGCCCAAAGTGTTGATTGTTTTTCTGGATCTGTTCAACGGTTTTAATAGTGTATTTTCAGCCAAACTAGTCAGCCAAACTAGTCAGCCAAACTAGTCAGCCAAACTAGTCAGCCAAACTAGTCAGCCAAACTAGTCAGCCAAACTAGTCAGCCAAACTAGTCAGCCAAACTAGTCAGCCAAACTAGTCAGCCAAACTAGTCAGCCAAACTAGTCAGCCAAACTAGCCAACTTCATGTCCACCCGCCTTCCAAAAACCACCACCGAATTTTATGATGATCTCGATCCAACAATTTGCCAAGATCGACCTGGATATTATGAAGTGTGGAGTGGTGTAAAATATGGATGGAATGGATTGCCCGTAGAGAGTAGCTACGAATTGGATAATGCTTGGATGATCGGCGCAACCATTGGGGTAGGTTATTCGGTGCTATAGAGGGCAAAAAAAATTTTTATCCTAAATGAGCTGATTTTTTGCACCCAGGGGTTTTGACTATGCTAAATCGATTGATGATGGTTTCACACAACATTCAAGACTATTTACAAATGACTAGCGTCATTGGAAAAACGAGTTTCTGCCAGGAAAGTTCTATAAAAGACACAAGAACTTGTTGACATTTTATTGTTGTTAGGTCGCGTCCGTTTCCTTCCTATTTGCGTTGCTATTTTGCAATTATTTGCGTCGCATTTTTCGTCCTTTTTCTCCCTTCCCGAAATTATTTTTTTTTTAGGTCTGCGGGTTTTTGCCTTCTTTCTGGGGGGACTTTGTTGTTTCATTTTTGCTGTTTTTGTAATGGGTATTGTTGCATTTCGGTTCGGTACTAATAAACAGTAACGTTATAAATTCACTTTACTTTATGCTACCCTTCAGGTTTTAAATCCTGTTTAGATAACTGGTTTAACATTGTAGAGAGACGAGTTTTACTAACATTTGTGTCACCATCGACGTAGTATCAATCCGATCTGCACTCTTCTCAAGAGTATTAATCTATTTTTGGATACTACGTGTTCTTGTTACGTTGTAAGCGCTTTTGGGGGAAACCGTTCTAACCTTTTGTGCTATTCGACCATTCTTAAGCAGAATCATCCTCGTTGATAAGGTCGCACCCCAAACTTATTTTTGTTGCTATTTGTTATAAACGTTGTTAAAAGTTGCGTTAAATGTTATGTGAAACCATCACCAATCGATTCAGCATAGTCAAAAACCCCTGGGTGCAAAAAATCAGCTCATTTGGCGAATAAAAACTTTGTCCCCGTCCCAACTACTATAGCCCCGATGAGCTCAACTTTGAAGTATGTCTAAAAATTCTTTTAATATAAAAAACTGTCTTTGTTTTGTTTTTAGGAGGGTCTATTCGAGTTGTCGACAAGTCTTGGCTCGTCAATTGTTGTATGGAGAAATCCCTCTTTATCAAAAGCCATCAAATTCTATCTTTTATTTTATTGTGGCTATTTGGGTATCGATGGACTTTACTTCTTCTACATGGCATATTGTAGTACGACGTGAGTGCTTGCTCAACTTTGAAGTGTGTCTAAAAATTTGTTATCGTATAGAAATGTTTGCTTATCAAGTAACTTTAGGTTATTTGATAACCAAACATTTCTTTAGCTCTAAAAACGAATGCACTAAGAAAGATCAATATTTATCTGTTGACAATATTTTTTTTATCACTTTGCTGTTTCTTTGCTTGAAGGAATCATCTTCCAAAAGTTTATCTAAACCAAGAGTTAAACTTCAGTCCCCCAGCCAATGATCACCAAAAGTGGTTCTTCTGATTCAGTTTTTTGCGGTAATTACAAATATCTACATCTCACTGCCAAATTCGAAGAAAAAGAGAACGAGCTTGCAGCTTATGTGCCCCCCGCATCGTTCGCAACTGTCTATAGGTATTGCGCTTTTTTTGTGGCTTGTACCTGGATTAGGTGAAACGCGAGCCTAACCCAGGCACAAACCAAAAAACGTGATACCTACAGGCCGCAAAAGAACCACCGTTTCGAAGGTGGATTTGCTTCCTACTATCAATTTTTTGTGGAAAAACGTCTGACCTGAGACACCTACCGTAAATGCTGTAATAGTACCCCACCCCCATAATGCCGGTGCGCAGTGTTGCCTAGTCTAGCTTTGAACGAGTTTTTCTCGACACTGGTTTATGCTACAATGCGCGTTTAGGTATCAAAAAATAGCTGAAATTCAGGGCTATTTTTGATATCAAAAGACGGAGCATCACGTAGTCTAACTTTAAACGCATTTTTCTCGTCATCCTTTTATAATGACGGCCGGAGCATCGCGTAGTCTAGCTTTGAACAAGTTTTTCTCGACACTGATTTATACTACAATGCGCGCTTAGGTATCAAAAAATAGCCCTGAATCTCAGCTATTTTTTTGAATACCAAAGGCGGATTTTTTGAAAGTACGGGCGCTTTGAAAAAAAATGAAATACTAAAAAACTTTTGCGACTTTTGCGACTACGCAACTGTACGAGGGGGGTGGGGTCCAATTACAGTATTTACGGTAGGAATGTCGGTTAGCAAATGTCCAGTTATCAAATTTTAAGCTAGGAACTGACGCTAAAGCGTATTAAAAAATAACAATATTTAAACAATAACAAAAATTTAAAATCAAAATTTTCAAAAAATTAAAAATTTTTTTTTTTGGTTGCGCGACATTGTTTAGGATACGGTATTTCTAGTGTCTTATTAGATTGCGGCAACTTTTTTGGGACTCGTCACAGCAATGAGCTTTTGAAAATAACACAATTTTTCGGGGGTGGGACAAATGCGTCCTTTTTTTGCGCACCTGGACATTTGCGCACCTTTTTTTTTGCTGGAAAAGGCCTTAGGAAAGGCCGTAGAGCTTCAAAAATGTTTTCATAGAAGGGAATCGTATGCGTAGATTCAGAATTTTGACAAATCAGACCTCGCTGACACGTCAAATTTGGGCTAAAAGGCAAAAACTACGCAACTTAACGCTTTTCCGCTTTTCGCATTTGTCTCACCCCCCAATTTTTCTATTAACATCAAATATCAATTTGATTCTCTATTTTTCTGTTTCAATGTTTTCTTTTCAAGATACGATTGTGTTAATCCCTCTGGCTACCCATTCAGCGGTCTCCTTCTCAATATGATTATCACTGCTTTTTGTGGTGGTATGTCTGTCACAAACACATTTATTGATATTGGTCTCTCAATTAATCGGTAAGCTAAAATACAGTTGAAATTTTTTTTGCTCTTTTTCAGTTTTTTCGCCGTTTTCTTCAATGGTTTCTATTATCGAAAAGCTGAGAGAACGGCTCTTGCACATTGCATTCTGGCAAGGCTTATCCCATTTGTAGCTTACATCGCTCAAATTGGAACGAGTGAGTCGTAGAAGAAAATTGAAAACAATAATCGTTCCTTTTTTGTCATTTTTCAATCATTTTTTTCTAAGCACTGGTTAATGCTAAAAATCTGTGTTATATCTCAAAAAAAATCACCCATTCTTTCTACTTTAATTTAATACCAAAACGAATAGAAACAAACGTACTAGTGTCGAGTTATAAGAGTTTGTTTGAGAGTAAACTTCGACTTTTCAGAATAGAGTTTCAAAATATTAGGTTGTCGGATTATGAATTGCCGTTGTCTTTTTTGCTTTGTATTTTTTTTCAAATAAATTTTTGTGGTACTTTTTAAACTATATTAAAGAGCGTTTTATGCCGCGTCGATTGATATATTATTCGTCTATATTTGCTTAGATTTTTAATATAAATTTGTCTTAGGAAATGAACGACATCAAAAATAAAATGCGGATTTGTTTGTTGTACGGCTTCAAACAAAGAAAAACAGCGGCAGAATCCTATCGCTCTATAAGCAATGCATTCGGAGAAGATGTTATCAACGAACGTCAATGTCGCAATTGGTTTCAGCGCTTTCGGGACGGCGACGAGAGCCTTGAAGACAAAGAACATGAGAGGCGACCAAAAACTGTGGACGATGAGGAACTTAAAGCAGCCATCGATTCTGATCCTGCCCAAACGACACGAGAACTTGCTGAGAGGTTCGGTTGTCATCATTCCACCAACTATTGCTGACCACTTGCATGCCATTGGTAAGGTGAATAAATGCGGTAAATGGGTGCCTCATGAACTAAGCGATTTGAACAAAACAACGCGAATCAATATGGCCGGAATTCTTTTGCGTCAAGCCAAGAACAGTGGTTTTTTTGAGTCGATTGTCACGTCTGATGAAAAGTGGATATCCTTTGATAATACCACTAGAAAACGACAATGGTTGGACCCTGGACAAACCCCAAAACCGACTCCAAAACCAGACATCCATGGCAAAAAGGTGATGCTATGTGTTTGGTGGAATAGCAAAGGATTGGTGTATTTTGAAGTGCTAAATTCTGGTCAAACGGTTAATGCGGACCTCTACAAAGAACAATTAAGCCGCGTCGATCAATCGCTTCGTCGACAGGGAGTGGAAACAGCGTCAACAAAATTGCTCCATGACAACGCGCGTCCACACACCGCAAAAGTAACTCTGAAAAAAATTGAAGAATTGGGCTGGGAACTTCTGCCTCACCCGCCATATAGCCCAGACCTTGCGCCATCTGATTACCATTTGTTCCGGTCGATGCAGCATTCCTTGGCCGAAAAAAAATTCAAAAACCGCGATGAAGTCCAAATTTGGGTGGCCAATTTCTTTGAGTCACAGCACAGTCGAGTTCTTCAACAAGGGCATTCATTCTTTGCGTGGACGTTGGCGAGATGTCATAGATACCGATGGAGAATACCTTTTAGATTAAAATATTTTTGTATTGATTTTATAATAAAATTACTTTTTGATAAAAACGGCAATTCATTATCCGACAACCTAATAGAACAATAATGAACTTTTCATTAGTTAGCGATAAGTCGAATGGTTTCATTTGTTATATGGGCGCTTATTTGGATCCATCATGGCTTGCAACGTCGCTATGTTATCTTCGTTTTCCTTTTCTTGTGTTTTTGGTCGAAGTCTATTCAATGAGCGTCATTGTAGTGATGGCTCTTACATTCGATGTGGCCACAGTTTGGAAATTAAAGAAAATGGTTTACTTGTAAAGCTTATTTGTGGTAAAATACATGTTTAGAAATTCACATCGGAGACAAAAGGACGAAGGGATCGAAAGTTGATGGCCATGGTGAGTGGTCATGTGTTGAAGTGCGCTGACTACTCTATTTTGTTTCGCTTAAATGTATTAGGTTGTTCGGTTATAAACGAGTGTTTGCACCGCTTAGCTCGTTTGCAGCGAGTGTTTGCATTGCTTAACTAAAACTTAAGCCATTTCCCGCATCAGATCGTCTTTCCAATGGCGTGAAGATGCTCATCAATAGTCGAATTTGAACATAGAAACTCTTGAGCAAGTTCACGCGTCGTTTTACAAGGATCCGGTTCGATTGCAGCCTTCAAAATATCGTTGTCTACCGCTTGAGGTCGACCAGAGTGTTCATCATCCTCGAGAGTGTTCATGATCCTTTCATCACCATTCCAAAAGCGTTGGAACCAGGCTCGGCATTGGCTTTCGGACTATACATCATTTCCAAATGCTTTCACCAAACCTCGATGGGTTTCCGCTACTGTTTTGCCTAGTTTGAAGTCGGCAGTTGTCCAGTAGCTAGTTGCAGTTGCAGACTCGAACTTTATATATTTGAAGTCGGTCATCTAAAGCAAGAAAAAAAGATCTTAAAAATAAGAAATTATCCGTTTAAAAAGTTTCCAAATATACACAAGATAACGTACTTTTAAATACAGAAAGACATATTTCAAAACAATTGGGGGGAGTGGGACATTTGTCGCATTTGTCCCACTCCCCCAATTGGGATAAGCCTTGCCAGAATGCAATGTGCAAGAGCCGTACATATTTTCTCTCACAACAATAAGTTTAGCAAGCGCTTGTTTATATCCGAACAACCTAATAGTTTGATTAAATTTTAGGGGGAAGTTAAGACAAGCAATAAATTTCACTTCAGGTAATCCTCATTCATTTTTTTTCACTAATCGCTATGGTTGATGCATTTGCTCTTCAAAATCCAAATATGGAGCGTTCGCAGAGATTAGTTTATGTTGGCTTGCCTCAATTTTTATGTCGATGTACAGTCGGGTTTCTTTTTTTTTTGAAAATTTGAGAAAACATTTGTTTTATCTCAGCTTTGTGCTCATTGGCTTCAGCTGGCGATCGCCGTGTGATCGAAAAAAGTCGACGAAAGTTTTGATTGTAAGGAGATAAAACTTTGAGGTACAGCTGCTATAAACAATGAACGAGTTGTATATTGAATAAAGGGTTTTTCCAAAAAAAAGAAGTGGTCAACTTTGATCAACCATGAGAAACTTTTTTGTTCATTTTTCAAAAATCTTGGTGTCAAAAAATCAAAAAATGGTTTTTCCTTTTACTTTTTATTTAATAATTTTCTATCTCTTTAGTTTCAATTCTTTACAGATTGTACTCTTTTGCAACAAACACCAAGACATCATCAAATTCAGCATCAACCCAAGCAAAGCAAATAAAAGCTGTAATTCTTTCAAGATAAATTGTTCAGGAGATAAATTCCGTAAATACTGTAATAGTACCCCATCCCCCTCCCCCCCTCGTACAGTCGTGTAGTCGATTTTTCTAAAAGATTACTGTACTTTTACCCACCGTTAATACTGTAATTGGACCCCAGCCCCATAATGACGGTGCGGAGTGTTGCGTAGTCTAGCTTTGGACGCGTTTTTCTTGACGCTGGTTTATGCTACAATGCGCGCTTAGGTATCAAAAAATAGCTGAAATTCAGGGCTATTTTTTTGATATCAAAAGACGGAGCATCACGTAGTCTAACTTTAAACGCATTTTTCTCGTCATCCTTTTATAATGACGGCCGGGGCTCCGGGGGGTCGGGTTTGGAAAAAGTTTTTCCGCCCCCGGTTTTTTGGGGGACAATGCGTGTTTAGGTATCAAAAAATAGCCCTGAATCTCAGCTATTTTTTGAATACCAAAGACGCATTTTTTGTCATTATAAAAGGATGACGAGAAAAATGCGTTTAAAGTTAGACTACGTGATGCTCCGTCTTTTGATATCAAAAAAATAGCCCTGAATTTCAGCTATTTTTTGATACCTAAACGCGCATTGTAGCATAAACCAGTGTCGAGAAAAACTCGTTCAAAGCTAGACTACGCAACACTTCACACCGTCATTATGGGGGTGGGGTACTATTACAGTATTTATGGTAAGTAATGAGAAGTTCATTTTTTCTTTTCAATTTCAACAATTTTCAACAACCAAAGCCAACAACATGAGTTAGACATTTTTTTTTCTGAAATTATGTACTTTTCAAATGCACAGACAATTAAAGACAATAGAGAATAGCAAATGGAAGAATTTAAATATAAATCTATGCTAATTTAGATATAGAAAGTTTAAAAACGGCCTATGCAAGCAAAAAAAGAAACCTCTAAATGAAACTAGAGCTTTTTTGAGTTAGCACAATTGGCCTTTGTGCAGAATGAAATTCAGCACTTTTTTTATCTTTTTACACAAGAAAACTATTCAATTAAGCAAATAAACAAATAAACGCATATCCAGTGTTCTCAATTAAATTGTGAATCGATCCCGCAATTACGCAGATTGCAAACGCTGAAATCAGTTTGAACGAGTTCAAGAGCTTCAACGAGATTCAGAGTCACCTGAAATTTTTTGAGATTAGTCCAAAATTCAGACTTTTTAGCTATAAAATCAATAAATTTCAAGTTTAATTGTAAAATAAACCGTAATAGTCTTTGTGATCATCGTGAATCCATTATCGGAGAATGATCCAAGAAAATCCTTGCTAACTGACACCCAGGTGAGCGGTGATATGCCCGATGCCTCGAGTCCAATCTCATATAAAATCGAGGAGATCTTTTTGAATGAGCTGATTCGTATCACACCCATTTGCTCCAGATTCACCTAAGCCATTATTTAAAAGGTTTTTATTAAAACCCATTTAACCCTAAAGTATACAGAGAAACTCAAAATTATCCGGATAGCTTTTTGGAAAAGTTGTGTTTTTGTATGCTTAATTTATTTCAAAGTGTCAAGTGTTATATAGAGAAATGTAGCCCTTAATCTTAGCTACATTTCTCTACTAAAAACTTCTTAATCGGATGTACAGGGTGCGGCCAAAATATCCGGCGATGAAAAAACCGACTGGTCTTCAGAAAATTAGCAGAAAAGCTTTATAGAATTTTACTGAAAATAACAACAACAGTCCAAATAACAAAATAAAAACAGTTAAATCTCAAAGTTTCCTCCTTTTTCCTTCATGCAAGCCCTAAGTCGCTTCGGCATATCGTCGACCGCGGCACGGAGAGTCTCAACGGGGATTTTTGCCCATTCCTTGATAAGGGTGGCTTTCAGATCATCCAAATTAGCATGTGGAGCTGATGAGACCTTTGCCTTCAAGATTCCCCATATGGCGAAATCCATAGGATTGATGTCAGGTGAATTTGCAGGCCATTCTTCCGGGGTAATGAAATCCACGTTTTGCTTGGCAAACCACTCCATGGTCTTTTTTGCACGATGTGCTGGTGCAGAATCTTGTTGAAAGATCCAAGGTGCTCCAGAAAAGTGATTATCAGCCCAAGGCTTCATATGCCTCATCAAAATTTCTTTTTCGTAGTAATTTTGATCAATTTTCACACCTGGCTGCACAAAAACAAGAGGTGTTTTTCCATCAGCGGTCACCCCGGCCCAAACCATCAACGATTTTGGATGAGCCGATTTTTGGACAATTCTTCCCTGAGAATTTGCCGTGGCAACATCTTTTGTTAAAATCCGATTATTTTCCTTGTTGAATTCCTGCTCAATTGCGAATGGCGCTTCATCCGACCAGAGAACCCTCCGATGCGTGCCACCCTTCAAACGCCGCAACAAAACTTTGCATTTCTTAAGTCTTTGTTTCACTTATTTATCAAAAAAATCACTTATTTATCAAAAAAATAATTGAAACATATAAAAAAGAATAAAAAAATGCATAAACATAAAAAGAAGCGTGAATAAATGAGTTTTCGCAGTATTATGGCAAAAAGTACGTTCCGCCGGATATTTTGGCCGCACCCTGTATACAGCTAATTTAACAATCGTCAAAAATGACGCTGGAGAGATGTTGACTAGCGCTCATTCAAACGCTTGTTAAATTAGCTGTATACATCCGATTAAGAAGTTTGTAGTAGAGAAATGTATCTAAGATTAAGGGCTACATTCCTTTATATAACACTTGACACTTTGAAATAAATTAAGTGGGGAAAAACTACTTTTTCAAAAAGTTGTTCTGATGGTTTTTTAAGACACCTTGTAGTCTGCTTCGAAAAATAGGAATCTCTGGGTTTTTTCTGAAAACGAATACTAGTTCACTTTCCTTCTCTTCTCTTATTTCCTTTTTCTTCTCTAGCAGAAAGATACCAGATAATTCAGTGGTTAGAGCAATTTCTGGGAAAGAAAAAGGTCGAGAGTTCAACCTCTCTCCGGAAAGCTAACCATTCCTTACTTGATTAGCTGATCCTCTAGTAAAGAAAAGCTTAGTTTCCAATAAACAACCTTTGATATTTTGTTTGGAATCAAGACGTTATCAGCTCCAATTTGATTGCCTTGTCCATCTCTTAATCGAGCTACAAAGACGAAATTCTCAATGGACGCTATCGGTAGTGTTCTAAAATTAAGATTGCATTTGACTAATTAAGAAATAAACAAACAATTTCGCAGGCAATTGCACTTTGGTGGCTGTTGATGCATCGACAGTCACATTGTCTTTCCATGTGTAGATAGGCTATAGCATTTGTAAGTAAAGTTTACTTTTTCTAACCGAGAAATTTGAATCCCAGGAGAGCTGCGAGATCTCGATAGTTCCTTTTTGCGTTTCGTGCAGATCATTGATCAGACTAGCTTGAAGGGCGTTGTTCTCGAAATACTAAAATAAAGAACAACTTTGAAGTAGCTTGACTTTAAAGACAAGCTACTTTAAAGACAAGCTACTTTAACGACAAGCTACTTAAAAGACAAGCTACTTTAAAGATAAGCTACTTTAAAGATAAGCTACTTTAAAGAAAAGCAGCTTTAAAGAAAAGCTACTCAAAAGCTGCTCACTAGTGCAATGTGTAACGGCTCAAAGAAACGCCTCGCTTCGTAGTGAGCCATTTTCCATCTAGAATCATTTTATTTAGACTTTTACCAACAAAAAAACACCTTAAATTTATATCAACAGAAGCCCAAGTGGGTGCCGCCCAAATATCATTAAGTTGCCAATAAAGAGCACACATTGTGTTTCCCCGTCCATCCACCAGCAATTGACCCATCATTCTAAAACAATAGAGCACATAAAAGCATCAATACAACAGCTCAAAAAACCTTCGATAGTGCTCTGTTTGTACTTTGAGTGCAATTGATTGATGTGCTTGTGATAGATAGGCGAATCGATTCACGAAAGTCGTCGTGTTCACATAGGGGCACAGCTCAGGCAAGAGACGAGGGTAAGGCACGCTTTTGCACTCGATTGGCATCTAAAAACTTTTTCAAATTTAAAAATGAATTCAATCACTTACTGCAAAATGAGCATAGATCATTGCCAGATTGTTGTCGGTGCCACCCGGATGGTGTTGTCGATGAAGCATTCCGTTGCTCATGTATTTTAGATCATCTGATGAAAGAGCATTAGCCAATGTGTACCTTGAAAACGATTTGTATTTAGAAAAACAAAAACAAACAATTTCTCGCTAAAACAAATTAAAATCGAGTGCTTAGGCTTAGTTAAAGTTAAAGAAATAGCTTGAAATCAGCTCACCCGCTCGGAAGACTCTGCACTCCGTATTCGCTGGCACAACGAGGCGTCCTAAATCGATTAAATAGTTATTTATCTGTATTATTTAGTAAGCAATTAAAGTATTTCAGTTATAATCCTATTTAGGTACGGTTTAAAGCAACTGACGCGTAAGCGACGCGACGCGCTTTCCAAAGCCTGGATGCGCCACCGTACCCCGCACAAAATCCCCATTTGCCATTCTTTTCATTTCATTCATTTTCCGGGGGCTACCAAAATCAGCGCCGAATTTTTCGCAATACTGTCATAAGTTTGCATGTTTTTTATGCCTTTGCTCTTGTTTTTGCTCCTGTTTTATTTTTTACACTTACAACAGGTCTAGAAGTAACTGTTACGCAAAAAAGCACAACGATTTGCCATTATTTAGCGCTTTTTGATGAAATTATTAACTTT